ACTCACAAAGCACAAAGAAAAGATCTCCAGTGTTTTACTGACCAACTGTGTTTTGTAAATATACATAAGTGTAGAACTTGATTCCTGCACCACACTCAGTAAAAGCTGGTAAAGAGGCCTGTTTACCGCTCTGTTACATCACCTTTCCTTTAATTACACTGTAATCGTTTGGGAACTGAGGACACTGATAGTTGCAGCACATGTGTGATAAGGATCGGTTGAATATGTCTGTAAATACCTCAGCTAGTCCTGCAGCACAGTCTGAGAACCCGTCCTAGGGCACCATCTGGACCAGCTGCTTTTGTGCAGATGATGTCAGCAGGCTGTTGGTATCTGGAGCAAGATGGTGGTCACAGCAGTATCTGGTCCCACTCTCTCATTAGAAACGCTCAGTCTGGATGGACATTCTATTATTTGCTAATGGCAGTTAGTAAATATCCAGGGCACCTGCAGTATCAGCGTCTGGACGCATGTAGACAGCAGTCATTATGATAACTGTGGATTCCTCTGGCAGATAGAATGGAGGACATTTATTGATAATATACTCCAAGTCTGGAGAGCAGTGAGTATCAGTGATCTCAGCATTTGTGCACCAGTTGTCAGAATCTCTGGGCCTGTTGGCTTGATGTGCTGAACGCCCTGCTAGCTCAGTAGCCTCATGTGGCGTCGTTGGGTTGAGCCACGTCTCCGTGATGACCATAATGCAGCAGTCCTGTATGTTGTTCTGTGTAGAGATGATGAGCTCCAGCTACTCCATCTTATTGGTGAGTGATCTTGTGTTGGAGATGAAGAGACCTGGCAGTGGAGGTTTGTGCAGGTTGTTTACTAGCCTAGCACGTCTGCCGACCTGACAGCCACGTTTCTGCTTCCTCTCTCTCCGCTGACTTTGTCACCTCCCAGCTGGAACTATAATCCACGGAGACCCTGTCAGTCTGATGAACTCTGCTGGGATGTTATGATCTGATCTCCTGCTGTGCACAGAGCTGATGTGTATCAGTTCTAGTTGGCTGTATTTGATGTTTACATGTGCACATGTGATGCTCAGTAACAGGTAAACTAACAGAAAGCTGATTAAAGAGCAACGTTTCGTGGAGTTCTCATCCCCAGCTTATACATTCACCGCCATCTTTCCCTTAAACGAAGTGAGAGTCAGCTGCCCCTTTTCTCTCAGAATGTTTAGTGCCCTTTTGGATGAGTTCTAATGCTTAATATGCTGCTGTACAAAACCTGAGTGAACTTCAAATTTGTCCCTGGAGAGTTTTGAGAGCTCAGTTTGGTTAAATCCATCAAACGGCTATAAAACAGCAGCCTGATCGGCTCATACCTGAACTTTTTTGCCTGCTGCTTTCAGTTGACGTCACATGGCAGCATCAGTGCCAACTTCAGAAAACTCAGGCTGCGTCCCAAACCACAAACTACAGAGCTAAATAGTAAGTTCCACTTTTAGAAGTGCGTTAATTAGTGCAGCATGTCAAACACGGTGTTTTGGGACGCAGCCTCAGTTACGTCATCTTAAATTTCACAGACTTAGAGAATGAATATAAATCTGTCATAATGTAACGTCCACATCACAGAAGCAGTGTAGTTTGATCCTAATATGAAAACACGCTTTGAGAAACTGGGTTTATGTTAGTTAGAGATCTACTGAAGCCTGAACTCCTTCTGAACACACTGACCACCGCCCAGCTTCTCATTTGAATCCCTTCCACCTTAAATGGTTCAGCAGTTCCATTCTGGCACCTGTACAGGTGCAGTTAACTACTGCACGATTTAAGGTGGAATGGAAAACTCGAATGAGAAGCTGGTGAAGATGAAGCGAACTTCAGCTCCATCATGGTGACCAGAGTCATTCATGGTCGAACAGAATTTCCTCTGTTATCTGATATCTTACATTGAATCCTTGCTGAAAAAAAAAAAAGACCATTAGAACCATTAGGATTATAGCCTTGCAGTCTAAAAAAGGTTGGGTGGAGATCCCAGAGGGGAACCGTCAGGGCCCTCTACGCTCTCAGAGAGGGCTTAAAATATTCTAAAAATAATATTTTAAAGTTGAGCAGTTCTGGTTTTATCTGATCATATTTTGTTAATCAACATCTAAACAAATACAAATCTAAGCAGATAAATCCTTCAAACCTGCCTATTCAGTTTGTACCGGACTGTGAAGGGTTAAATTAGAGAAGCCCCTCTGTCTCCCCCTATCAGAATTTTGCCATATCTGCTGTTGCTGGAAAGACTGTTGGTGATTTGGTGGTCCAGCTATAAATTTGCAGAGGGCCAAGCAACAGTAATTCACTGAGAGACCAATTTCAAATGACAGTAAAACTGACCAATCATATCTTTCCTCTAAATGGGTGGGCTTTGTTATCACTAACTTTATGACAGGTTCCGCCCGCTGTGGAGACACACAGGCTCTGGGGACACGAAGCTAGTGAAACAAGCTAGCTAGCTTGTTGGTTCATGATGGAAGCTGAGGGTAGCGTTACCGCTAGTGATGAAGACATCGCTGCCAGTTTATTATCGACACCATTTTCTAGATTAACTTTCAATGAGAAGTTGGAGTTAATCAGTAAAGGACGACCAACACCAGAGCTTAACCTGGTGCAAAAAAGGGTTTCGAGAGGCATTTCAGCTTCAGCAGTTACACCACGACACCCCTGGATGACGGGATCAACCAAGGAGCTAAAGCTCTGCTGATGGGACTGCTTGCTGTTTGGCACAGAGAGTGGGTTTTGGAACAGAGATGGATTTTGTGATTTAGGAAGTTTATCAGCCCATCACCATCAGAACACTTGAGAAGGAATTGTTCATGAATTTAAAGCAAAGGATCAGCTGCCGAACTGCACCATCAACCGCTTCATCCAGAAGGACAGGAGGATGGACTTCGTTATGACTTCATTCGTAAGTAATGCCCTGATCAAAGAGTAGGTTATTTAAAATCTTACAGGCCTGCCCACTGATTTCAGTCTGCCCGCCGCTGAACTGTCTGTGTAATGTGGAGGTTTATTTGGGATTATTATGCAGTATTAGTGGTCATTTTTCTGATGCCGCTCGTGGCTGCTTGGCTGTGTGCGCACTGGCCTGATGTTACTGTAACCCTGTTTTCTCTCACGCAGCTCCCCAGCAAGGCTCTGCGTTGTGAATTGATGGAATGAAAAGGAGCCAGGGAGCGCAGAACTGTGGTGTATCAGCTGGTGGCGCTGTTTTATTTGCAGACTTCTCTTGGTTGTTTCCCAACAGGCAGCAGTTTCATCTTCACAGAACTAAACAGTGTTAAACAAGCTCAGTTTTAAAACTGGTTCAGACAGAATGAGTTATATAACTACTACTGCTAGTGTTGATTTACAGACTGTCTCTGCATTAGACAACACAGGCAAAGCTGAAATTCCCCACAAACACAGAATGCTCATGAAATATTCTTCAACTCCTGCACATCTCAGTAACTAACATTTAAGAAATAAAAGGCATAAACTGCATTTTTAGGGGCAGCTGACTCTGCATAGAGAAACATGGCTGATTCCGTAATTCCCACATACAGATCAGGTCGCAGCTTTCATGATAAAAACCACAACGATAAAGCACAAATAATTACTAATGTCCACCAAACAAGTGACGGAGTTTACTACATCTCTAATTTACACAGAACATCACTGGATATTCAAGACTTTCCAAGGATTAACAAGGATTGTTGGAGACAAAAAACTCGGCCTGGCTCACCTTCACAGAACACAACAGTACTGAGACTAAAGGGAAGCAACGTCACAGCAAGGAACAAGAGTAACGGTGAATGCGCATAACGCCACCTACTGGTCTTAACTGGGAATAACACCACCTTATATTACCAAGTGCTTCAGTAATGAGTGTCTGATGGAGGGGCTGCATGTTCACCATGAGTCCCACTGAAATTTGAGATGCTACTTCAACATCAGCAGTATGAATTCTACCTGCAGCTGATTCAGAATCTAACCAAGTCAAAGATCAAAGACAGTTCAATCTAATCAAGGCAATTACATCGAGATGTTTATGTGGTGTAAAGTGAGGTTTTTCGGATGGTCCGGTGTGACAGCTCAGGTTAAATGTTCACCAAAAAACTGCATTGAGTCTTTAAGCTCATGTTGGTTTTTGAGATTTTAGTTGTCTTCATGCTGATATTTGAAACAGGATTTTAAAGGAGTTGTTTTGACTGTAAAGTCTTCACTACACTCAGGGTGGGATGTTAGTGTTAAGATTAACCCCCCCAACATGACTGAGGCGGGACAGTGCCCACCATGTTTATCCTGTCTGAGTTCCTGGGTCATGGGGGGGCTGAGAGCACTTTGTTTGATTTGAGCTGATGGGGTAAAAAGCTTACGGTTGTGTTTTATTAAAGCCCAACTTTTCCTTAAACACTTTTTATAAACTGACTGTTGACCATCAACTAATGACATCAGTGGTAAAATCTGCATTCCTTGTCTTCCATCATTAGAATGACATCATTTAATATTTTATCTGCTTAATTTGAATGATTGACAGGTTGTTCAAGTTCATATCTGATCTGCTGCTGAAGTGCTTTATTTGGTGGGGCAGATTTTCTCACTTGTGTCTATAAATAAGTAGAACAGAAGTAGATTAAGAGTTTGATAGAATGAAATATTCAGTCTCTGTTCAGTCAGTGCAGAGATGAACAGGCCTGTATCGTCGTACACAGGAGAGGAAATGTTGCCCGTTTCCACAGCAGAATCTCCGTCTCTCAGAAACAGACTCAGCTAAATACAGATAACAGGTTCAGTCCATAAGGTTTATGTGTGTGAATGTACGTCTACATACCATTAGAATAAACGAAAATAAACACAAATGCAGTAGAACAAGCTGTGTGTCTGTGTGTACAGTGTGTGTACAGTGTGTGTGTGTGCGCGTGTTTATATAGTGTGTGTGTTTGTGTAACAGTGAATCTGAAATGTAACTCATGTCTGTGTGTTTCTGATCTGATCTGTTCTGTCTGCATCACATTTTAGAGAAAACAGTTTATTTTATTCTCTTTATTTATTCTGAAAAATTTAAACACAGAAAGGTTTGATTTCTCTCATATTTGCAGTCTGAGATCAAACTGATGAACAACAAACATATTTCCATTTCTCTCTGTCCCTCTCTCACTGTCTCTCTGTGTCTCTCTCACTCTCTCTCAGCCCACCCTCTGTTTTCTCTCTCTCTCTCTCTGTAGAGGTTATTCTGTCTCACACAGACTCACTGAGTCATAAATGTAGAATCCAGCGTAGAGCGGTTCAGTGAATGTGGTGGTGAATGTGTGTAGGTGGGTCAGTGTGTGTGTGTTGGGGGAGATGGTGTAGAAGGACAGAGTGCCGGACCCCCAGTCCAGATACACTCCTACTCTGTTAGAGGGGGAGGGGGGGGCAGGTAGATCAGTTCTCTGTTTACTGTGTCTGACAGAGTAACTGTTATTATAGCAGTTCAGACTCCAGGAGTGTTTACTGAATCCAAACACACAGTCTTTACTGCCTCCTTTCCTCCTGATTCCTCTGTATGATACTGATATAACAGCCTCTCCGCTCCACTGAACCTCCCAGTAACAGCGTCCAGTCAGACTCTCCACACTCAGAACCTGAGGCCAGAAATCAAATCTGTCTGGATGATCTGGATACGACTGATCTTCTCTCACATAATCCACCTTTCTGTTCCTCTCAGACAGAGAGAGACGACAGTTCACTGTGTTTGGATCCAGAGTGAGATTAACCGCATCTGTACACACACACACACACACACACACACACACACACACACACACAAACACAGATAGATATACACACACACACACACAGATAGATATACACACACACACACACACACACACACACACACAGATATACACACACACACAGATAGATATACACACACACACACACACACACACACACAGATAGATATACACACACACACACACACACACACACACACACAGATATACACACACACACACAGATATACACACACACACACAGATATACACACACACACACAGAGATAGATACCCACACACACAGACGAGACAGACAATTTTAATGTGAGTATATATAATGTTCGTGTGTTCACAGTGCATGTGAGTGTATGATGTGTATGGATGTGTATAGTGTGTGTGTGTGTGTGTGTGTCTGTGTGTTTACAGTGTGTGTGTGTGCGTAGTGTATAGTGTGTGTGTGTGTGTGTGTGTTACGTTTCTTCAGTCCTGGTTTCATCCTGATCTTCCCTCCATGATCCACCCTGAAGAACAAACACACACATTTATACATTCATTAAAATTGATATGAAATCAAAACTAAAATAAAGACTAAAACAGATAATTACGGCATAACACCCCCTTCAGACCTTACGGTCCAGATAAAACTAAAATTAGCTCTAAATCACACTAATCGGCTAATTAGCACTAAATCACAGTGCTAGGCTAGTTAGCTCTTAATCACAGTGCTAGGCTAGTTAGCTCTTAATCACAGTGCTAGGCTAGTTAGCACTAAATCACACTGCTAGGCTAGTTAGCATTAAATCACAATGCTAGGCTAGTTAGCTCTAAATTACAGTGCTAGGCTAGTTAGCTCTAAATCACACTGCTAGGCTAGTTAGCATTAAATCACAATGCTAGGCTAGTTAGCTCTAAATCACACTGCTAGGCTAGTTAGCTCTAAATCAAAATTATAGGCTAGTTAGCTCTAAATGACACTGCTAGGCGAGTAAGCTCTATATCACAGTACTAGGGTAATCAGCACTTAATCACAATGCTAGGCTAGTCAGCTCAAAATCACAGTGCTAGGCTAGTTAGCTCTAAATCACTCTGCTAGGCTAGTTAGCTGTAAATTACACTGGAGCGGCCAGCTTACCCAGACCTATGGAAGGTTATGGGAAATGCGGTGCGCTAAGCAACAGGGCCACCGGGACCTGGGCAAATTCCACGCTGACCAGAGGTCACCTGAACCAGGCCAGACCTGTGAAACTTACGCCGGGGACTCTCATGGTCAACCGCGCCTGTGGAGAGTGAAGTCTGGGGACACCAGCATCGCAGAAGATGGCCTGGATCCCCACCACCTCCGCCTGAACTCACCACCAGCAACAAATTCAAAGTACTGAGCTCTCTCTCCTCCTCTGCTCCTCCCTCCACTGCGTCCGCCTGAACTCACCACGAACAACAGATTCAAAGCACTGAGCTCTCTGTCCTCCTCTGATCCTCCCTCCACCACCATCTCAGCTTCAACTTACCACCAAGAACAGATTCAAAGTACTGAGCTCTCTCTCTTCCTCTGCTCCTCCCTACATTGCATCAGCCTCAACTCACCACCAGCAACAGATTCAAAGCACTGGGCTCTCTCTCCTCCTACGCTCCTCCCTCCACCACCATCTCAGCCTCATCTCACCACCAGCAGCAGATTCGAAGTACTGAGCTTTCTTTCCTTCTCTGCTCCTCCCTCCACCGACTCAGCCTGAACTCACCACTAGCAACAGATTCAAAGCACTGAGCTCTCTCTCCTCCTCTGCTCCTCCCTCCACCACCTCCGCCTGAACTCACCACCAGCTACAGATTCAAAGTACTGAGCTCTCTCTCCTCCTCTGTTCCTCCCTCCACCACCTCCGCCTGAACGCAGAGCAAAATGGAAATTGAGAAAAAATAAACTAACTATTCATTATGAAATTCTTAAAAACTGTATAAATATTTATATCAATGCAGTACAAACAGAGAGACAGAAGTAATCGATCGCCTGTTAAATCCTAAATTAACCAGTGATTCTCACTGAGGCTTCAACATCAAAATGTAATGATTTTGCATGATTTTTAATACAAAAATCACAAACATCCGGTCACATTTTATTACTCCAAAACACTATGAATAGTTTTAAAAAGATCACTGAGACAGAACTTCAGAAAGTTGTCATGCAGTTAAATTCCTCCACCTGTGGTTTCCAACAGCATTTTTAATGAAGTATTTGACAGTCTTTGTCCAGCTGTGCTGGACATTGTAAACTGTTCTTTGTAAACCGGCACTTTACCAGACACACTCAAAACAGCAGTTGTAAGACCACTATTGATGAAACAGCACCTTGATCCCTCTGTTCTTAGCAATCACAGACCAATTTTACATTTTTAAGTAACATAATTGAAAGATAGTCTCTCACAGCTTAATGAATTCCTAAATGAACACAATGAAATCCAGTCTGGCTTCAGAGCAAATCACAGCACTGAAACTGCTTTAGTGAAGGTGGTGAATGATCTGAGAATAAATGCTGATGCTGGTGATGTTTCGGTACTTATGCTTCTGAATTTAACTGCTGCATTTGAGACTATATACCACAGAATACTTTTAAGTCAACTTGAGAACTTGGATGGTCTTATTAGAACTGTGTTAAACTGGTTCTCTACATATTTAACTGGAAGACACTGTTTTGTAAACATAGGTGAACATATGTCAGATAAGCATCGTATTCTCTGTGGTGTACCACAAGGCTCTGTGCTACATCCACTTCTGTTTTCTTTGTATTTGCTGCCACTGTGTCAGATTATTAGGAAGCAGGGCATCAATTTTCATAGTTATGCAAATGATACACAGCTGTATATATCTGTGGCTCCAGACAATGTCAGTTCAGTACATAAGCTCACTATATGTCTGTCCAGCATAGTTAGCTGGATGAACAGCAATTTTCTAAAGCTAAATGAAGAAAAGACAGAAATAATTATAATTATAAGAGGAACAAGGTGAATGAAAGACTTGGAAATCTGGCTCTACAAATAAAAGCTGAAGGTAGGAATCTTGGTGTAAATCTAGACTCTGATTTACCTTTTAATGCACATATTGGGCGTGTCTCAAAACCTAGTGAGCTCTCTACATAGACAGCATTTTACGTCACAATATGCGCGCTCCCGACAAGAAGGCTGTCCCAATTCTTAGATATCTCAAATATGCTGCCTACTGAGGTACCTCATTTTGGCTGAATATCAAGAGAGCATCGGATGTTTCCTCAGCCGCTAAGGCAAACCCGCGAGGCAGCGCGGCGCAACTTTTGTTTGAAGATGGCGCGCAGAAGTGCTTCACCAAGCAGCGACGTCATCTTCAAATGTAAGTTATTCTGATTTTCTGGGGTATTTATCTGTTTTATAGTCATAAAGGTGCACAAATAGCCTATACTTTCCGCGTTTGACCACAACTATTGTCTATTTTGTTGTTTCATTCAGAGCAAATACAATTAAAAACGCATATGAACTGCCAGAGCAGGAACCATGTTGGCTAAATGTGATTCTGACGACTGAGGGAGGGAAACGCCAGTCTCGTGCAGTGGGCGGGAACAGGCAGAGACATCACTGCTGTCTAACTAGAGCGTCTCATTTATAGTGTGTGTGAGAGGTTTGATAGTGAGCTTGAGAGAGTGTGATAGTGTGTGTGAGAGAGTTTGATAGTGAGTGTGAGAGGGTTTGTTAGTGAGTGTGAGAGAGTTTGATGGTGAATGTGAGAGTTTGGTAGCAAATGTGAGAGGGTTTGATAGCGAGTGTGAGAGGTTCGATAGCGAGTGTGAGAGGTTTGATAGCGAGTGTGAGAGAGTTTGATAGTGAGTGTGACAGGGTTTGACAGTGAGCGTGAGAGAGTTTCATAGTGAGTGTGAGAGTTTAATAGTGAGTCTGAAAGGTTTGATAGTGAGTGTGAGAGTATGATAGTGTGTGTGAGAGAGTTTGATAGTGAGTGTGAGAGGGTTTGTTAGTGAGTGTGAGAGAGTTTGATGGTGAATGTGAGAGTTTGGTAGCAAATGTGAGAGGGTTTGATAGCGAGTGTGAGAGGTTTGATAGCGAGTGTGAGAGAGTTTGATAGTGAGTGTGACAGGGTTTGACAGTGAGCGTGAGAGAGTTTCATAGTGAGTGTGAGAGTTTAATAGTGAGTCTGAAAGGTTTGATAGTGAGTGTGAGAGTATGATAGTGTGTGTGAGACAGTTTGATAGTGTGAGAGGGTCTGATAGTGAGTGTGAGAGGGTTTGATTGTGTCAAAGGGTTTGATAGTGAGTGTGAGTGAGTATGATTGTGTGAGAGAGTTTGATAGTGAGTGTGAGAGGTTTGATAGTGAATGTGAGAGGGTTTGATAGTGAATCTGAAAGGTTTGATGGTGAGTGTGAGAGAGTTTTATAGTGAGTGTGAGAGGGTTTGATAGTGAGTCTGAAAGGTTTGATAGTGAGTGTGAGAGAGTTTGATAGTGAGTGTGAGAGGTTTGATAGTGAGTGTGAGAGAGTATGATTGTGTGAGAGTTTGATAGTGAGTGTGAGAGGTTTGATAGTGAGTGTGAGAGAGTTTGATAGTGAGTGAGAGAGGGTTTGATAGTGAGTCTGAAAGGTTTGATGGTGAATGTGAGTGAGTATGATTGTGTGAGAGAGTTTAAAAGTGAGTGTAAGAGGTTTGATAGTGAGTGAGAGTTTGATAGTGAGTGTGAGAGGGTTTGATAGTGAGCGTGAGAGAGTATGATTGTGTGAGAGAGTTTGATAGTGAGTGTGAGAGGTTTGATAGTAAGTGTGAGAGAGTTTGATAGTGAGTCTGAAAGGTTTGATAGTAAGTGTGAGAGAGTATGATTGTGTGAGAGAGTTTGATAGTGAGTGTGAGAGGTTTGATAGTAAGTGAGAGAGTTTAAAAGTAAGTGAGAGAGTTTGATAGTGAGTGTGAGAGGGTTTGACAGTGAGTGTGAGAGGGTTTGATAGTGAGTCTGAAAGGTTTGCTGGTGAGTCTGAAAGGTTAGATAGTGAGTCTGAAAGGTTTGATGGTGAGGGTGAGAAGACTTGATAGTGGGTCTGAAAGGTTTGATAGTGAGTGTGAGAGGGTTTTGATAGTGTGTGAGAGGTTTGATAGTGAGTGTGAGAGGGTTTGATACTGAGTGTGAGAGGGTTTGATACTGAGTGTGAGAGGGTTTGATAGCGAGTGTGAGAGGGTTTGATAGCGAGTGTGAGAGAGTTAGATAGCGAGTGTGAGAGGTTTGATAGTGAGTGCGAGAGAGTTTGATAGTGAGAAGTTAAACTCAGTGTGTAAGATGTCTTCAGTCACAATTCAAAAACAAACACATCTACAGTAAAACATTTCAGTCAATAATGTATATAATGACAGTCAGTTTGTGTACAGAGATAGTAAGTCAGTAACTCACTGTAGTTTCTCCAGTGTACAGTGTGGATCCTCCAGTAGAACAGAGAGCAGCTTCGCTCCAAACTCTCCTGGATGATTATAGGTCAGATCCAGGTCTCTCAGGTGGGAAGGGTTTGATTTCAGAGCTGAGGCCAGAGAAGAACAGCCTTCATCTGTAACCATACAGCCAGACAATCTGCAGAAAGGAAAGAAAAAGATGGACATATGGGATTTAAATACAGCAATACCCAACTGCAGTACAGAATTGGCCTCCAGCCAGTTCATAAAAAACAACTGATAGAGACAATGAGTGAAAGTTGTAGCGAAAACATGTTTTTATTTTCAAATTAATCTATTTAAAAATGGGCTTCAAACCACAAAGACAGCCCTACTGAAGCCCACCCGCTTAATTGCTGACAGCATTAGCCCCAAGATGGCCAGAAAATGAACCTGCAGTAAAGAGAAACAGAGAAAACTCTCCAGCTCTCCACATTGGAAAGCCTTTAAAAGAAAAACGTGCACACCGGCGTGTCTCAGTAGCCAATTAGGTCAAAGCTCCCCCTCTCAATTCAACCTGCAACACACTCAGGGCAAAACAAACTTAACAGCGTGCAGGGTCATCACACCCTCTCCCTCAAAAAAAGTACTGACATAACCCCACATAAAAAATACACTTTATATACCACCAACCACAAAGATGTGCAAAAAAATGAATTCTACATTTTACAATTTTCATTAATGTGTCCCATCCAATACGTCCTTGCACTGTCCGGCCCTGGGAAGTTTAAAGACAGCAAAAACAGGACAAAATGCCAAATAACAGGTAGAAAGATTAAGAGACTGGTATCTGTGACAATGTATCTGCCATCACATTGTCAGTATCTTTGACAAATATCAAGAACATAAGGCTGCAAGAAAAGGTGGTGACATCACACTACGCACACCCTCAGCCAAGTTGTTTCCCAAAATGACTGAAGCCCCATCCACAGGGAGCCCAGTGCAAACCTCTAACACGACCTCAAGTTTAATGAGGTCTGAAAAATGAGTAACTCTATGCAGTGGAACCAAAAAATAGCTAAATTACAAAAAGAGGGATATAAAAGTGATACAAAAGATGTCAAACAAGTGTGTGAAAGCCCCTCGCTGACACTGGTAAGAGACGACTAACTAAGTAGACCCTGATCTTCAAACAGTTACTAGTGGCAGGTATTTATGCACCAAAGCCCATAAGTGCCATACTTAGCCATACTTAGCACCTCAGATGTGCCCCTGAGTCAACTGCTTCACATATTATCATCACTCAAAAATAACAGACTAAAACAAAAAAGGGCCTATATGACCAAATAGACATGCCGCTGTACCTACCAAGGGAGATAAGATAAGATAAGATAAGATAAGATAAGATAAGATAAGATAAGATAATCCTTTATTAATCCCACAACGGGGAAATTTGTGGTGTTACAGCAGCACAGAAAACAGAGCAGCAGGAAATATACAAACGATATATAAAATAGAATAAACAATAAAAATATAAAGATATATGTATATGTACAAAAATTACAAGAAAAATATACAAAGTATTAAATTTAAATTTAGAAATGTAGAAATGTATGTATTGTAGTGAGTATTGCACAGTGAATAAAATAGCAAATAAATAAACAATAAATAAATGGAGAAATATTGCACTTGACATAATTGCACATAATGGTGGTAAACATATTGACAGTGATCCGCAGTGAATATACTACGCAAGGTGGATTGAGGTATTGCACACAGTAAAGTGCTGTGGCAGTGATGTTGAGAGTTCTTGCACATGGAAAGTAATTGTAAACTACTGTCTACTGAGTGCCGTGACTGTTATAGAGTCTGACAGCAGCTGGGAGGAAGGACCTGCGGTATCTCTCCTTCACGCACCGCGGGTGCCGCAGCCGGGCACTGAAGGAGCTGCTCAGCGCTGTCAGAGAGCGGTGCATGGGGTGGGACAGGTTCTTCAGCATGTTTGTTAGTTTAGTCCTCATTCTCCTGTCCCCCACCACCTCCACTGGGTCAAGAGGACATCCCAGGACAGAGCTGGACTTCCTGATGATCTTATTCAGTCTCTTCCTGTCAGCAATGGAGATGCTGCTACCCCAGCACACCACTCCATAAAAAATGGCTGATGCCACCACAGTGTCGAAGAAGGTCCTGAGAAGTGCCCCCTGCACGCCAAAGGACCTGAGTCTCCTCAGGAGATGTAGCCTGCTCTGGCCTTTCCTGTAGAGGGCAGCTGTGTTGTCAGTCCAGTCCAGCTTGTTGTTGAGGTGAACACCCAGGTACTTATAAGACTTCACAATCTCAATGTCCATTCCCTGGATGTTCACAGGCACTGGAGGAGAATGTTTGGACTTGCGGAAGTCTACCACCAGCTCCTTGGTTTTTCCTGCGTTGATCTGCAGGCAGTTCCTCTGGCACCATTCCACAAAGTCCTGCGTCAGTTCTCTGTACTCCCTGTCATCTCCGTCTGTGATGAGGCCGACGATAGCAGAGTCGTCAGAGAACTTTTGCAGGTGACAACTGGCAGAGCTGTACTTGAAGTCCGCAGTGTAGAGGGTGAAGAGAAAGGGAGCGAGGACAGTTCCCTGTGGAGCCCCCGTGCTGCAGACCACCGTGTCCGACTGACAGCCCTGGGTCCTCACATATTGCGGTCGGTTAGTGAGGTAGTCCAGGATCCAGGTGGTGAGGTGATGGTCCAGGCCCGTGCACTCCAGCTTGTCCTTCAGCAGTGTGGGTTTGAAAGCACTGGAGAAATCAAAAAACATGATTCTCACAGTGCTCCCAGCATTCTCCAGGTGAGAGAGAGAGCTGTGTAGGAGGTGGATGATGGCATCCTCCACTCCAATGCCAGGTTGGTAGGCAAACTGCAGTGGGTCCATTGAAGAGCTCACCCGGGGGCGCAGGTGGACAAGAAGCAGTCTCTCCAGGGTCTTCATCAGGTGAGATGTCAGCGCCACCGGCCTATAGCTGTTGAGGTCTTTGGGGTGTGGGGTCTTTGGCACTGGCACCACGCAGGATGTTTTCCACAGCTGTGGGACTTTCCCTAACCTCAAGCTGAGGTTAAAGATGTACCCGTCCACGTCACACAGCTCGTTCGCACAGGTCTTAAGAAGCCTTGAGCTGATGGCATCTGGACCTGCAGCCTTCCTGATCTTCATCCTCCTGAGCTCACTTCTCCCCTGGGATGATGTGAATGTGAGGCTGGAGTAAGGGAGAACAGTGCTGGGATGTATGTCAGCAGGAGAGCCGTCTGATGGTGGCTGTGTGTTGAGATGAAGGAGGGTGGGTGCAGGAGAGGGGGGAGGGCCAAATGCTGGTAGTGCCAGACAGGGAGAATTCAGCAGTGATGTGCCTGTGGTGGGGGGAGCAGGTGAGTGATCAAACCTATTAAAGAATAGATTGAGTTCATTCACCCACTTGTGGTCCCCCACAGCCCGGGAGTCCGGCTTCTTGAGTCCAGAAATAGTTTTGAGGCTATTCTAGACTCCACTGACATTATTCTGCTGCAGCTGGGCCTCCATCTTTCTCCTGTAGCTGGCTTTCCCCTCCCGGATCTTCCTTCTCAGCTCCCTCTGCACAGATCTCATCTCCTCCTTGTCACCTGATTTAAAAGCCCTCTTCTTCTCTTTCAGGAGGGCCTTTATATCAGGATTAATCCAGGGTTTGTTGTTGGAGAAACACCGAATGGTCTTGGTGGGTACGGTATTCTCCACACAGAAGTTGACATAGTCCGTTATGAAGTGTGTGAGGCCATCAATATCTTCCGCATAAGGATCACACATCTCCTCCCACAGTGTTACGCTGAAACAGTCTTTCAAAGCCTCTTCAGACTCTGCAGTCCATTTCTTCACTGTGCGGGTGATGGTTGGTTCTCTGTGTACAAGTGGTTTGTACACAGGCAGGAGATGAACCAGGTTGTGATCTGATCTTCCGAGGGGAGGGAGGAGTAGGGAGTTATATGCCTCCTTTGTATTGGCATAAAACAAGTCCAGTATTTTATTGTCTCTGGTGTGGCAGGTGACATACTGGGTGAAGTTAGACAGTGTTGAGGATGGAGAAGAATGGTTAAAGTCCCCAGAGATCAGGAGGAGGGCCTGTGGGTGCTGGGTCAGAATCGTGCTCACAGCTGAGTGCAGGACGTCAAACCTTACCACATCCTCACCCCTACCCCCTCAAAAACGCTGGCAAACCCCAGCAAGTACATTAGCCAGGAAAAAGCGCAGCCAAAACAAAAAAAAGTCCCCACATTGTTACAGACCAGCCTCCAGCCAGTTCATAACAAACAGCTGAGGGAGATGATGAGGCTCCAGCTCTCCACAATGAAAAACCTTTTAAAGAAACCCAAACATCTGCACACTGGTGTGTCTCTGTAGCCAATTAGGTCCAAGCTCCGCCTCCCAATTTCACCTGCAACACATTCAGGGCAAAACAAACCAAACAGCCTGGAGGATCATCACAATATATATCAACACTCTGACACAGAACAACTGACTCTTCACACAACTAATTACAACATGATAAAAATCTCATTATGATTCGGAGCTCCAGGAGATTTGATTATTAGGAGATTTTGTGAAGAACCAAGACTTCAAAGCAGAAACCACTTTCCTCCTGGAAGCATTACAGAGTTAATATATAGATAAATACGGATCCAGGAAACACAAACACTATGAAAGTAAACCAAATTTGAATCAGAAGGAAACATTACCTGTGGTCTCATCAAAAAAATCAATGTCTGAGGTCTAAAACAACATCTAGATGAACTAGAGGCATTTTGCTGATCAATGATGAAAAATGGAACTCTTTTACCGACGTTGGGGTAGTAAAATAAGTCGCTAATTACTTCTCTCGAAATTAAATGTGATTATGTTACTTATTACTACCTGAAAAGTGATCACTACACTTTACTTGTATGTTACTTTGTAACCTATTTCTGCCCCTCCCTCTAGTTCACCCTGTGTCACGACAGCTTTCAAACCCATAGTTCCACAGTTCACATCCGCTTCTTCTGTTTTTTGCAGTGTTTTCAGTTTGTTCCTTTCCCTTCTCTAACTTTCCCTGTTAGTTTACCCATTTCTTGAGTTCAGCTCTGCACCTGAGTTTGTGTTTGTCTTCAGTAGGTGACGTGCCTTGTTGCCCATAGTCCACTGTAGTCATGCGTCATTAGTAGTCTTCATTATGCCCATATTAGGAACTCCCGGTCTGAGCTCCATTTCTCTATGGCCAGAATGAATAGTGTTTCTGAAAAATCGCCTCTATCGCCCCTGTGTTAAATAAACATGTTCAGAACCTGATATGTTTTGTCCTATGAACATTTTTCTCCCGAATACTGCTGGATCCTCTGAATTATGAGGTACACAAAACAAAGGCAGTCTGTGTCGGTGCTCTGACGAGTTATGCTACCTTATTGAAATGTTCTACTGTAGCGCATATTTATGAGTATAACCGTAAATAAAACTTAAATGGCGCAGCAGTTCAAAATGTATGGAAAATGGAAACGGAAAAGTAGAACAAAAACCTAGCTAATGTCCTTAGAAAATATCCTCAGAAAAATGTTACCAACATTAAAATAATAATGAGGATATTCTGAGAGCCTAAATCAGCTGATCAGTGGGTCAGCAGTGATATTAAGCTGAGTCTGTACTGGATCAGCCTGAGTGCAGGTCCGTTTTTTAGATCTTTTCAAATCAAGCTAAAAGGAAAGATCTTTCATGTTTCAGTGAGCATCAGATGAAGATCAGAGAACTGCAGGGAAACCTACTGATTTTGCTCTGACTCCTTTTCATTTCCCCTCAGTCTGTACATGGAAATGTTTACTGCCAAAACCTGCTTACGGCTGCCAGTCTAATGACATGAATTCAGAGCGCGGTAGCTTTAGCTCACATGTAGCAATATAAATATTTCAACTCATTAACAACCTCGTAATTCAGAGGATCCAGTGTTATTTGATGAAGACAGAGAGCACATCACTGCGAGCGACAGAGAGCACGTCACTGCGAGCGACAGAGAGCAGCACACCTTAGAACTTCAGACCAAGCAGCGTCCAAACCTTACTTGAAAATTAGTTGAAAATTCTGCAGTTAGCAGGTCGCAAACCCCCTCACGTCTCTCCTTCTTATTTTTGTCTCCTCCCTCTCTTTTTTCTTTCTATCTCTCTCACAGTTATTCCCTCAGCCCATCCACCATGGCGTCCTCCCAGGAACGCGCCCTCCAGACCCTGAGCGCAGAGTTGGCCCGGCTGGATCGGCAGATCACCGCCCTACTGAAGAAGCAGGACGAGCTCCTTCGGCAGAAGTCGAAGCTCGAAGCCGCCCGGGAAGTTTCCCCCTCGGTGGTGGCGCCAGCGTCGTCTTTCCGCGCGCCGGGAGACGCCGTTCTCACGCCAGCCCCGCATGGTCCCTGGGAACGCCAGCGCCGCAGAGGGCCCTGCAGACCCACACCGCCGCCCCAGCCGATCTTCGCCTCCGGAAACCGTTTCGCCGCCCTCAGTACACCGCATACGCCCTCACCTACGTCCCGGGCCTCCTCGCCGCCGCCCGCCCCAGCGCCCCGGACCTCGTCACCTGCCCCAGCGCCCCGGGCCTCGCCGCCCGCCCCAGCGCCCCGGCGCTCTTCACAGGACTCCGTTTATGTTATTGCTAGTTCTATTGTCCGCCACGTTCAAGTAAAGGTTAGAAACACCCATGCCACTGTCTCCTGTTTAAAATTGGGCATTACACGACAGGTGATCCCATCACAAGAGCTGAACAGTTTCTGCAATTTCTGAGGAGCTGAATAAACCCTGTCACGTGTAAATCATTTAGTGCCCCCTGTGGCAGCCCCTGAAAAGTATTATTAGTCCAGGCCTGTTCATAATTTTTTGTGATCAAAAGTTTTCAATTTGTTTTGTCTTTCCCATCAAGACATTTCACTACAAAACTATATACATATCCAGGGCCTCCCAAAAAAATCTTGGTCTATCTTGATGAGTAGAGAAAGTACAGGACAGATGATCCATACATTCCTAATACAGCTGACAGCCTACAGACATTGGAGCACAGTATTCTCAAGTATCTCCACACCCACAAGCCTCCAAACACATGCCACACCCTATACCTTAGAACTTTCATCCCAAGTTTAAAGTTGAGGCCTGATCATATTTTATATTACACATATGCGATTAGGCTATGAGTTTGTGAGAGCGACACAGTGGATTATTATCTTTGGTTTGCTGTTCCAACATAAACCGATTTCTTATTCCTTCCACAAGTCAAAACTAAACAGTGAAGATAAGCAGTGATACCAACTGCATCAGTAGGTTTCTTCCATCAGTTACAGGTTTCTTCCAAACAGTTACCACTGTTTCAGTGTACTTCTCCTCCTTATTTGCTCCCTCCTCTGACCCTCAGTATCTCTACTTAAACCATGTCAGACTGTGGGTTCATTAGACTGGTGACCGACTGATGATCAAGCTGTATCTGTGCATGATTCTCTGCAAACATATGAATAAAACTCGAGATCTGAAGATCCAGTCTTCTGACTCTTCCTGCTGAATTTCTAACACTATGTGCTAAAGCTGCTAGGCTTACCACAACACTGCAATAGCAGCACACTGACCATGCTGTTGAGATCTTTTTTTTTTGAAAAACATTGTGCAGGGCTTGTGGTACAAAACTCCAACTTCTCAATATAAAATATTGAGAAGTTGGAGTCTTCATGTGGGAAGTATAGGAGGTATAGTTGGAGTCTTCATGTGGGAGGTATAGTTCCCACTTTAAATATTTCAACACCTTGTAAAAATATTCTGGGACCTCCCCTCCAAGAGATTTTTGAGGAAAATCTTGTACCTTGTAAAATAGAAATGAAATATCATATAAAATACAATTAAAGACTGTTTAAACAAAGTGGGTTTAAATACTTTGTGAATTATTTCGTTAGAAAATTTATTTCTTTTCTTTTGCTAGCAAGAGTGTCATGAAATGTTTTCCTCTAATTTTAAGATATTATTATCAAACCATGGAGATATTTAAATTTACTTCAGTTTAGAAGTGGAGCAGGCATAAGTTTCAGTGCAAAAACATTTTACTATACAGCTAAATTTAGAGTTGTTTCATGTAGTCTGTGATCATTAATTAGTCTATCACAGCATATGCTAAATACTAGCCACTGCATTGATGTTTTTGTAACTACAATGAGCTTAATAGAAACAAGAAAACTGACAAAACAACTGAATATAAAAACATAGTGTTGATTTTGTAGTGGTGGTTAGTCTAGTTTATTACAACAGACTGAATTAAATGAGAAAGAACATGACATGACAACTCACTACACATTCTTTACAGGAATAAGGACAGAGAGACAGACAACAGAAAACATGATGTTTTGCCAGGTCATTGATTCTTTCCATTCAGGACTGAATTCACAGAAAACTCACCCAAGTGTCTCCAGTTTGCAAAATGAACTCCTCAGTCCAGCAGAGAGCAGCTCCACTCCTGAATCCTGCAAGTCATTGTTGCTGAGGTCCAGCTCTCTCAGGGAGGAGTTTGGTGATTGTAAAGCTGATCCCAGATTTTCACAAGCTTTCGCACCGAGACTACAGATGTGCAGTCTGCAAACAGGCATTATAATGTAGTCAAAGAAGGATTCATAAATAACAAAAAAAAAAAGAACAGGTACATCATATTGTTTAGATAAAATACATTTTATTTGAGTATTTTTATGTTCCAGTCTGGGTTAGAGTGAGAAAAACAATAGAATTCAAATATCCTAAAGAATTCTGTTAGTATTTTATGTTTACATTTTATAGTGCCTTATCAGCTTATTTCTATTCAAGAATTATTCACAGGAAGTTCACCAGAGCAATAAAAAGGATTACCTTACACTGCATATTCTACTTTGACTTTACTTTCAGAAATAAGAACACAAGATATTCATAGCTTGATTATTCATCCATGTGATCCCATTTAAAACAGAAAACACAGCTATTGTTTTTTCTCTCTAAGTAGAAGTTCCTGTTTAGGACCATAAAAAAGTTAACTGCCACAAAAAGTCAGCCAGTATATGATATAATTAAACTTAGAACAGATCTTGCAATTTACTGAAAGAATCATTTCTGAAAAGACAAAGAGAAAAAAGAATAACATGTTTTTTTTTTCAGCAGTACTCTATACTTTTAGTGTGTTTTTATATTTCAGGGATGGCTAGAGAAAGATATTCAGTATAAGTCTAAAACCATGTGAAATGAATATTATTATAGCCTGTGACTTTTTTATTAAAATTTAATTCACACAAAGCTCACCTGAGTATCTCCAATTTACAGTGCAAGCTCTTCAGTCCAGCAGAGAGCAGCTCCACTCCTGAATCCTGAAGGTCATTATTACTCAGGTCTACTTCTTTCAGAGACGAGTTTACAGATTGTAGAGCTGATGATAGATTCTCACCAGACTTTGTGGTGAGACCACACCAAGCTAGTCTGTAAATACCAGAATAAATATAATACATGATGTAATAAGGGGAACTGTAATAGAATGACTTTACTCTCCATATTCTACTTTGTCTTTCAGAAATAAGTACACAAGATATTCATAGCTTGATTATTCATCCACGTGACCCCATTTAAAACAATAAACACAGCTATTGTTTTTTCTCTCTAAGTAGAACTTCCTGTTTAGGACCATAAAAAGTTAACTGCCACAACAATCCAGCCAATATATGATATAATTAAACTTAGAACAGATCTTGCAATTCACTGAAAGAAGCATTCTGAAAAGACAAAGAGAAAAAAAGAATAATATGTTTTTTTTCAGCAGTACACTATACTTTTAGTGTGTTTTTATATTTCAGGAATGGCGAAAGACATTCAGTAGAAGTCTAAAACCTTGTGAAATGAATATTATTATAGTCTGTCATTTTTTTTATTAAAATTGAAGTCACACAAAGCTCACCTGAGTATCTCCAGTTTACAGTGTGAGCTCTTCAGTCCAGCAGAGAGCAGCTCCACTCCTGAATCCTGCAAGTCATTGTTACTCAGGTCTACCTCTTTCAGAGACAAGTTTACAGATTGTAGAGCTGATGATAGATTCTCACTGAAATATGTGGTGAGACCACACCCAGCTAGTCTGTAAAAGCCAGAATAAATTTAGTACATGGTGTAATTAGGAGAACTGTAATAGAATTACTTTACTCTCTGCATTCTACTTTGACTTTACCTTCAGAAATAAGTACCCAAGATATTCATAGCTTGATTATTCATCCATGTGATCCCATTTAAAACAAAAAACACAGCTACTGTTTTTTCTCTCTAAGTAGAAGTTCCTGTTTAGGACCATAAAAAAGTTAACTGCCACAAAAAGTCAGCCAATATATGATCTAATTAAAATTAGAACAGATCTTGCAATATACTGAAAGAAGCATTCCTGAATAGATTAAGAGAAAAAGAATACCATGTTTTTTTCAGCAGCACCTTATAGTTTTCGTGTGTTTTTATATTTCAAGGATGGGTAGAGAAGAGATTCAGTAGAAGTCTATGTAAAACCATGAACCACGCGAACCATGTAAAATGAATATTAAATATTGAGCATGAATCAGAACATACTAGTTCAGCTCTGAAGCTCTGGCACTGGCTGACACACAACCACAAAGCATAAAACAGCCAACCCAATGCTTAACAGATAGCAAGATTTTCTTTAATTTATTTGTTTATTTAGTTCCACACATGGATTGGTGATTGTAGAGAGTTCAATTTTTACTTCATCAGACAACAGCATTTGATTCCATAACGCCTCTGCTTTATCTAACTGTTGTGTTTCATACTTCAGACACTGACTTTTGTAACGAGATTACAGTTATGTTTCTGATTACCCTCCTAATGACCCTTCCATGTATATGATGTTTGTGCAATAACACTGCACAGAGGACTAGCATCACCTTTTCCAGCCAAATCTTCCTGTAAGGTCCTTGGCAGTGATGTAGGGGTTTTACTCTGAGTACCTGACTATTTTTCATGGTCTTTCCAATCTTGTCTTGACTTTAAATGTTTTTTTCTTAATGGCATTTTCAACAGTGAAAATTACAAACAGGAAGTGTTTAGATATCTTTTATAATCTTCTCTTGCTGTGTACAAGTCAATTATCTTTAGCTTAAGATCCTCAGGGGTTTAAAGGACTCAGAATTTAGTATGCTATGGAATTATCCACACCTCAGGTGCATTAAGGCCTAATGAATCAAAAGAGCTCTTACAAAAATTACTCTGGTCGATTCACTAAAAAGCCACATTTTATTTTATTCTCAATATTTTGATTAAGCAAATAAAAGGTAATTGAACATTAAACTGTAAGATCATGCCAAAGTTTGTTCAACCAATATGTTGCAGTAAATTCTTTTCACTTAAGACATGATCAGATTATGTATGCTTATATGTAATTATGTACCTGTCAAAATGTATACTCATCAGATATTTACCTAATTTGAGAGTTTAGTGTTTTACAAACAGTGAAACAGAAATACTCTAAATAGTAACTTAATTTAATTTAATTGATATTAAATCAATTAGTATTTAATTAAATTTAATTTAATTAATATCATTTAATGTCACTCCTGTGGAATCAGCCCTTACTGGAAGGATGTTGCAATTTTTTCCAACAAATCACAAACAAAGAGGACCTTATATAGACAAACTAGGAAAACAGTCTCAAATGAAAATGTTAAATCAAAAAAGGATAGAATGTTTTTGCTTCACAGTAACTTCACAATAACAGCCTTGGACATTGCATATTTTGTTGATTTTTGAAGTGGAAAAAACACTAAAATACAACCTCTACAGCAAACTATTTAAAAATATATTGCTAATTCAAAGTTACCTTATATTTGATTAATGCTAAACACAGAAAAAAGCAAATAGTAAATGTGGAATATTTAAAATTTGGACTCTATATTAAGTCAGTACTCAGTACAATCCCTTTTGGCAGATCTCATCTCTTTTTTTGTCCAGCTAGGAGTCTTTCTGTTCACATTATAGGAAATTTTCACCCACTTTTCCTTACAGAACACTGTGTTCTGTGATATTCTTGATTCTTCTTACATGCACTGCATGTTTAAAATCTACCCACAGATTTTCAATGATGTTCCAGTTGGACTGTGAGGCCATTCCGAAAGGTTCAGCCTCAGTTTCTTAAAGTAGTTCATGATGGATTGTAAGGTGTGTTTTGGATCACTGTCCTGTTGTAGAATCCAGCACCAGCCACCAGCAGCTTTTCAGCTTCCATTTCACAAATGACTCATTTCCTACCAAAATGTACTGATATTCAATGAAATCCATTCTTCCATTATCTGTGCAGTGTTGCCTGAGCCACTGGCTGCCATACTACCCCAAAGGATACTAGATCCACCCCTTTGTGTAACAGTTATCATCATCAAATGCTGCTTTATTTTTCTCAGAACGTTTGATGATTGCAGCCAAAGTTGTCTATTTTTACTTCACAGACAAATAATATGTAAAAAAATAGTTTGGCACAGAGACTGTTTACTTCTATTCACTTCATATATTAACAAAATATGTACAAACCGAATTACAAGTTCCAACAGAATGTGAATTGAAGATAAACCAAGGAAATCATTTGTAAATTCACTTTTTGTTTAATTAAAAACAGTAAAAGGAAAATAAATTTAGGGTGTGTCTCAAAACCCAGTGATCTCTCTACATGGACAGCATTTTACATCATAACATGTGCTCCCGACAACAAGGTTCTCAATTCTTAGACCCCTCAAATATGCTGCCTACTGAGGTTCTTATTTTGAGGTTCTTATTTTAGAACATTTTCCACTGTTTCAGGGACCAGATCAGTGATCAAAGCCTTTATAAAGGATCAGGAAAAACAGGAATCAGAAAAAAAAAAAAATAATCATGAAAACCTGCAGCCCTACTCCGCAGATACAACTGGACACCAATGAGTTAGTCGTATTCAGTTATTGTATAAAATGTAACATTAGCTAATCATTACTTAAAAGGAAGTAGAAGTAGTTTGCTTGTGTGGTTAAGCACTTTTCCTAATCTGGTTAGAATTTTAGTTGAATAATGCTGGACCTTTTAATCTCTTTACCTATTCTCTAACAAAGTAAAAGTCCTAATTTTACTTTGTTTACTTGTTGATAGGACTATCCTTTGGAATTGGGGCTACAGGAAAAGGTGGCACAACCTAAAAAAGAAATACAAAGTAAGTTCCAATACAGAGCTGAAGATTAACAGTAGATTAGTAGATTAATTGAAAGATTAAGGATTTCTCTTTTAAAGACTTGCGTTTATTTCAAACATAAATACCTTTGGTGTAAACATAGATCATTTAGCCATTCTCCCCCAGAGCAGAGCAGTCTCAGATCACTACCTAATCACAGCAGTCTCAGATCAATGCCTAATCTCATATGAAATTCACTTTAGTGGTAATGTTCATCACCAGCTATCATGCTAAGTGGACTATAACTTCCTTATTGACTACAGAAGAGCGCTTACTGCAGCACACTCAGCCTGTCTCTCCTCTCTCATAGAAAACAATAAGAATAATCCTAGATTGCTATTTAGCACAATTTCTAAAATAACTATATACTATATACTCCAATTTCTACAAGTTCACTCAAAGGTTAGATTACAGTTTAGCATTTAGTTTAGGAACTGAAGTCTCCATCGTCCAGAAGTGGGACAGACAACCAACACCAAGGACCACTCTGCCTGCTGGTAGGGAGTTCTATGTGTAGGATCCTGCACTGTAGCAGGAAAAGCCTATAAAACATCCAGAACTCTGCCTGATGATCACATACAGCCTGCAGCTGCTCAGGATCTCTAGGAGCTTTAATTCAAACACAGCAGCATCTACAGCACAAACTACACATCAGAGAGCTGCACGATTCTCCAGCCTCACAGAACCTTTTACATGATTCGTGTAAGGTTTCAAATACAGTAAGACGCTCGCAGATGTAACTTACAGAAAGGGCTTTACTGGTAGAAACAGAGTTCCAAGTCGTAGTCGATAACCAGGCAGAGTTCAGATCCAGAAGGCACACTAAAAAGACAAAGATCAGCCAAGGCAACAATACAAAAAGGGAAAAGCAGTAGCGTGGTTGAAGGTACAGGCAAGTGGTCATAATCCAAAATCAGAGACAATTGCAACCAAATCCAAAGGGCAGAGCAAAAAGGGCAGAGATGAGAAACCGATAAGCAAAGGTCATACATGAAATACACAACAATAGAATAAACGCTCAGTAGATCGCAAACTGGATACAATACTTCACAACTTCACTAAGCTAAAGCCCGGCTTATATACTACACTAAGTATATTATATGACACATAACACAGGTGAATCACATCAATACTCTGGAAAGATAGAGCGCTGACAGGAGCGCAGTGTCACGTGAGATGTCATGTGACTTCCCATAGGATCCTGGGATATTGAGTCCGTTTTAGTCTTGTCGCCTACGGGAAGATCGGAAGTCATGTGATCTCCTAGAGGATTCTGGGAGATTGAGTCCGAATCTACAAGGGGTTTCGGAGGCTGTGTGACAATTCGTAATTCTACACTTTTTGGATGCGGAGAGAATTCACCTCATTTCATGAGAAATGGGGCTAAAAACGTAGAGAAACAGATGGACGACACTCTGTAACTGAACTACACAGTGAAACTATACGGTCAGTGGAGCTGATAAAGTGGACAATGAGTGCAGATACAAGGAGGTGGACTTGTGTGACTGGTGTGACTGGTCAAAGCATATGTCTATGAATTTTTATATAAATGCATTACAAATTAATTAATTACTTACATAATCAATTACTGTAATAATATTACTGTATATAACTGCATATATGGTTTTATTGCTAGTGAATGACTGTTTAACTGTATATTTATTTATTAAATTGTATATTTGTGTGCATAATTGTTCTTTCCGGTTAATCTGCAGTTGTGTGTGGTGTATATAGATTTTTATATGATGTATATATTAATGTGTATGCTCTATGTCAATATTCAAAACAAATAAAACAGTATCTGTTTTAAAACCCATTATTCATCTAACTGTCAGCTAGGTGAACCTTGGATGATGTGGAGAAAGGGTTTACTGTTGTTTTTTCCCCCA